CCTGTGCAGGCACTTAGGCTGAAGTGTTTCCTTTGCTAGACCATTACTTTTCTGTCAGCTTTCTGTCTTCCAGAATTGTTAAGCTTGCTCATTGATTACTATTTCATTTTTCTTTATCCTTGTGTATCAATGCCATGTTTAGCCTGAACTCTCATTTGCTTTTAAAAGTTAGTAATTTTGTGCAATTGAGAATGTAATTACACTGAAAAATGTTAAAAGTCATATGAATTGCTTTTCCTTCTATGGTGTTTTCCTTGAAATGTGTTTTGCAAATAGGACTCTTAATGTACAGTTGTGATTTTTAAAAATTGTGTCATAATTTCTTCATGAGCATTTCCTGTCCTAGGTTAGAAATAAACCTGTAAAAAATGATTTTAAATGATCAGTAGCATTTTTTTTTTAACTGTCAACCCCAACTTGAGTATGAAGTAGCATTCTTTTGAAACTTGCTCAGGATAACATTTCTATTTCATTTGTGATTGCTCCCATAGAGATACCATAGTAACTGTAACTCCTAGCAGAGTTGGAGAGTTTCTACATTGGTTTTTCTACACTGGAAGTTTGCTCTGTCACACTCGATTCCTTACTCTGTAGCAGTAAGTGGAATAGCAGCAGGTTAGGCTGATTTATGTTATGGACAACTTGACTTTGGACTTATCATCAAAAAGAATACAGGACGGGCCGGGCTTGTTGACTCAGCTTTGGGAGGCCGAGGTGAGTGGATTGCCTGAGCCCGCGGGTTGGAGACCTGCCTGGGCAACTTGGTGAGACCTCATCGCTACAATAAATCAAAAAACCAGCCGGGTGTGGTAGCGCATGCCTGTAATTCCGGCTACTCGAAAGACTGAGGCGGAAGGATTGCCGGAGCCCAGCAGGTCGAGGCTGCGGTGGCCGGGAGCAGCCACTGCGCTCCAGTCTGGGCAGCAGAGTGAGACTCCAACTCAAAAAAAAAAAAAAAAAAATACAGGACGGAGTTCAAGATCTGTTTTCTTTAGTAACAGGAATAGAACTTTCATTTAAGTCCTAACCCTGTAATTCCAGTGAATGGAACTGGTACCTTCTAATGGTCTATAGTTATGTTGTACTGAGTATACTGAAAGGTCTGCACACATTTTCTTATCCCAAGGGACCAAATAGGATGAGATGAAATAGGAATTTTAGGAAGGAATCCCTACCCTAGTCAGGTCAAGGCTTAGATTTCGGAGATGCTTTTAGTGTGCCCAGGTAGGCTACATGCCTTTCCTTCTGTGATCTAATTTAATTTACTTTTCTAAATTTACTGATTTACTTTAATTCTCATAGTGACCACTGAGATAGCAAGAGATGAACCAGATACGAAAATGGACTTGGACCTTCACCTTCAGTGGAATAGCCCAGCTGGGAACCTAAGGCCGGTGCCCTTCCCACTGTGCTGCCAGGGCTTAAGGCCCAGCACAGGTCTCTCGTTTTCCCTGTGCTTTGCTTGGCCAGTTGCGGCAGTGTCTTGAGTGGACTCGAGCCTGCATTCAGCCCTATTCCACCATGTACCAGTTAGGCTCTGTGCCTTTGTTTCTCCATCTGTAAAATGGAGAGAACAATAGTTGCTGTAAGAATTAATATTATAAAACTCCTGGTAAATACCATATAGGTATTTGCTAAATAGGTAAATTTTATTTGGACTGCTAGTCCTCCTACCATGCACAGTACTTAAAGGAAAGCAGATCATATCTGGCTGGCTGAACTTGGTCAAGGCTTAGCCTGTAATCCCAGCACTTTGGGAGGCCAGGGGAAGTGGATTGCCTGAACCTGCGGGTTCCAAACCAGCCCAGGCAACTTGGCGAGACTCGTCTTTATCATAAATCAAAAATTAGCTGGGCATGGTAACACGTGCCTGTAGTTTCAGCTACAGGTTGAGTTGGAAGGATTGCTGGAGGTCAGCAAGTGGATGCTGGGGTGCTGCAGTGGCCATGAGCGTGCCACTGTACTCCAGCCTGGGCAATGGAGTGAGACTCCAACTCAAAAAAAAAAAAAAAAAATCTTTGGGCCTTGCCAAAAGGGACCGTGCGGATGTTTTTTTAAATTTTATTTTAATTTGTTAAGATGGGGTCTTGCTCTGTTGCTCAGGTTGGAGTGCAGTGGCGTAATTATAGTTTACTGTAACCTCGAGCTCCTGGGCTCAAGCAATCCTCCCACCTCAGCCTTCAGAGTAACTGGGACTACAGGCATGAGCCACCACACCCAGCTAATTTTTTATTTTTTGTAAAGACAAGGTCTTACTATGTTGCTCAGGATGGTTTCAAACTCCTGGCTTCAAGTGCTTCTCCTGCCTCAGCCTCCTCAAGTGCTGGGATCACAGGCATGTGCCACCTTGCCCAACTGGGACCATGTGGATTAAAGCGGAGCTCTATGAAACAGATGAGTGTAGAGATGAGAGAGTTTCCCTTCTTATATGAAAGTTTTGGCCAGATGGGTGATCCACTTTAACTAAAATGTCTCTTGCCAGTGTCAACCCTCCGATGGGTATTCGTAAGCAAAATCCAAGTGCTTATAAGACTTAAACCCAGATATCCTTGAATAGCTAATAGAGCTTTGGTAAGGGTGAAAAATTCCACAAGGTGGATTAGGATAATCAGATGAGGAATGGTCAAAATAATCTATTTTGTCTTAATTATAAAATGAGGGGAATGAGCTCGATGACTTCAAATGCACGTGATTTTTATAATCATTAAACTTCTTGGTTTAGTCAGCTTACTCAGACATGGAATGTAGATGCTAATGGGCTTAGATCAAAAATGGAATGATGTAACAGATGAAAATCCTCTGGTGTCATTTGCCTGATTAAAATTCCAAAGGCTGCCTATCTGACTCACACAAGCAACCGTGAGATTGCAGAGACCTTTGGTGATGGTTTGTGTCCTTTTGTCCACTGGCCATTGTAACTCTTATCCCTATGTTGAATAAATCAATAACAGTTGGTGCATACTGCACTGCAGAGGTTACTTTTTAAATGGGGGAATTAGGGCTATTGCCTTGCTAGACTCTGGTGTAGCCATGTGCTCTTTGAGCTACGGCTGTCGCCATGCTTCCTGGCTTTGGCCCCCTCCCCCACTTTGGGGAGGTGAATCTTCTTTCTCCTTTCTCGTTCTCTCTCTAATTTACTTTTAAATAAACTATATTTTTTAATCTAAAAAAATAAAAATAAATGAGGAAATTAAAAGCTGGGCATGGTGGCATAAGCCTGTAGTCCTAGCTTCCTGGGAGGTTAAGGAGGGAGAATCACTTGAGCCCAGAAGTTCGAGTCCCGCCTGGGCAATGTAGTGGAACCCTCTCTCTAAAATAAATGAGATAAAATAAATGGAGGAAGTAAGATAAGCAGTATTATCACTCCTCGGCTGGTCATCTGCCCCAGGATGTTATCCTTGTCCTGTGCAGGCTAGGCGGTGGCATGCCTATTTCAGAATACCAATAGTGCCACCTGCTTTGGGGAACTGAATGGTTTTGGGAACTAAAGGTTAACCTTTGTTTTCTTATGTAATAAAGGAGCTTAAAGTCATGGTCTGAGAGGTAAACAGACAGAAGAGGATAGAGCTCAATCTGGCGACAGTTTTACATCAATCTGAGAAAAGTATCTGGAGTCATTTTAATCAAGCATCCTCTGTAGTGTGGGCTTAAGCTGGAGTGCCGAAGGCTCATCCATGTGGGGGTAGAGTGTCCAGATCGGAGAATCATTGGCTTCTAAAGAGCCAGTTGTTGCAGGCTCCCTCGCTAGGCGATCATTCAGTAATTGTTTTGATTAATGAGATTGTGCAGTAGAAAAGCAAACAAAGCTGAGGCTGTTCAGCTGACCAGGAAAACACTTTTTTTCCCAGAGTCCCTTGTATGAAGAGCAGGTGCCACTTGGGAGAGAAAAACATTGGGGTGGTGAGCAGACCCTCGTTAACAGCTGGCCAGTTGCCAATTTTAGGGAGCACTTGATTAGTATTTGGGACGTTATGGTCAGGAATTTCTTTATTTGCCTTTTTCCTCTACTAGGAAGACCCTGTTGGAATGATATCTCTGTATTTTGTTTTCCAAGTACTTAGTGGAAATTCTTCATAACAACCTGACAAAATGCTGCTGCTACTATTAGTTACCAACTGAGTATCTATTGTGTAGAGAAAGAAGAGTTGGAGAGCCAACGTTATATATTGGTTAAGAGCTGGGCCTTGGAATCAAGCTCCCAGAATTGATTCCTTACTGTACCACTTACAGCTTTGTGATTTTGAGTACATCACTTAAACTTTCTGGGCCTCTGTTTGCTCATCTATCAAATGGGAATGGTAAATGCGCCATCCTCGTTTGCTGCTGTTGTTAACACTGTTGTTATTGATTTTGTGGGCCAGCTGGTGACTGTGGGAAGAGTGCAAGGTTTATTGTGCTTTCTGGGTCTTTCTCACATCAAGCGATTAGTGGATAGGCAAATATCTCAACGGCGTGAGGCATTTCTCATCTGTAGCTTCAGTTTTTCTCTCCAGTGGCAGATTCCCAGTGAGTACCAGTGACTTCGGTTCATTCTTTCTCATGCGTGTTGTTTTCTGGTTCACCACCTGTGAAATAAAAGTTTTCTGGCTTAACATTGTGAATAGATCAGTCTTCATTGATTGTGTTCTACTAACCATGGGCTGTTACCTAAGAGATTTGATCCATCACAAATGGAAGAATTTGACCCAATATTCTCGAAATCTCCCTGACCAGGGCAGTGTTCAGTCTTAATTAAGACAGTGATTCAGAGGAGCTGAGAGTCAGGGAGTTATGCCACCGGGTTGAGGAGGGAAAGACTAAGGAGAAAAGTCTGGGATGGGAAATTTTCAGAGCAGCTCAACTGGTTGAAAGTTGGCTTTGTTTCGTGCCCAACTTTTCAGAAGATTTTTCTCGGCTGAGTGGGCTTGGTGGAGCACTGGCTTAAGAGTGTTGCTTAGCAACGAGATTCTGTGGCACCCAATTCTCAAATAGCCAAGCAACCCATCAATTCCCTGCCTCTCCTCCACCAACCCTCAGCTACCATCCGGAGCCTCCTATTAGACAACCAAGTGTGTGTTGGAGGGAGGAACCAGAGAGAGGGGACGAAGTTTAATCATTGAACCAAGCAGGCTGGAAGTATTTAGTCTGCAGCACCTGGCTCCCCGGGAGGTCTCTCAGCTTGAACTGGAAGTGTGTAGCACTTCAGAGTCTTGGGAGTAAGCACCGCACAGAAATCTCTGCCCATCTCAGGGGGAATCAAACTTGGAGAAAATGTTTGCTGTACACTTGATGGCATTTTACTTCGCCAAGCTGAAGGAGGATCAGATCAAGAAGGTAAGGACTCAAATAGCTGAGACGCCTGTTTCATTCTTCACTGGCACGATTAACTCATTCCATTCCTATACCCAAGAAGATTTTGAAGTTTATTAGAAAAGAAACTGAGAGCACGTGACCAGTGAAAAACTCACAGAGGGGGATGAGGAAGTAAATCTCCCACGTCCCTGGGCATTGTGTTACTGCCACGAACATTCAATTTCACTTCCTGGCAGGTATCTAATGTGGAAGGGAATGAGGAGAATCTTCAGGAAGCTTGAAGGGGATTGTGTTTGATGTAAGGGATGTTTGTTGCAAAAGGCCGCAAAGGAAAGGAGAGTCATTTTTAAAGAAGTTTTTAGAACTATTGTGGCAGATCTGTTTATTCATATATTTGAAAGTATAGAAACATGAGCACCAAGAGGGATGTGAGTCATAATATACAATAATTGAAATACTCATTATTGGCATGTGCTGTTTGCCAATGGTATGCTATTTTTGTTATTTGTTTCTATTTTTAATTTTTTTTTTCTAATTGAAGTCTTTCTCTGTCACCCAGGCTGGAGTGCAGTGGCACACTCACGGCCACCCCAGCGTCGACCTGCTGGGCTCCGGCGATCCTTCCGCCTCAGCCTTCCAAGTAGCCGGAACTACAGGCGCGCGCTACCATGTCTGACTAATTTTTGATTTATTGTAGAGACGAGGTCTTGCCAGGTTGCCCGGGCTGATCTCAAACCCGTGGGCTCAGGCAATCCTCTCACCTCGGCCTCCCAAAGTGCTGGGATTACAAGACTGTGCCACTGAGCCCGGCCAATAGTAAGCTATTAATGGTGTGCGTTATTTTGTCACTTGGCCCAAGGAACTTGTCTACAAAATTTATTCCAAGTTGGGCTGGTTAAAAGGTTGTCAAGGGTCAAGTCGGGGTAATCAGGGTTTACTTCAGGCAGGTGAAATGATCTCAGTCTACTGCCTTGTCAGGCTACTTGCCCTGGGCAAGAAGCATCTCTTGATTTACAGATATCAGGAGTCCTCCGAGAAGAGGAATTTACCAAGCCGGGCTCGGTGGCTCAGCCTGTAATCCCGCGCCTTTGGGAGGCTGAGGTGAGTGGATTGCCTGAGCCCGCAGGTTCGAGACCCGCCCAGGCAACTTGGCAAGACCTCATCTCTACAATAAATCAAAAAAATTAGCCAGGCATGGTAGTGTGTGGCTGTAGTTCCGGCTACCTGGAAGGCTGAGACGGAAGGATCACCGGAGCCCAGCAGGTCGAGTCTGCAGTGGCTGGGAGCGACCACTGTACTCCAGTCTGGACAAAAGAGTGAGACTCCAACTCAAATAATAATAATAATAATAACAATAGTAATTAACAATAATAATAAATCAATAATTAAGATTAAGAATTCATTTTCTTTTCTCATTGGCTTAGTAAATATCCAGCCCTAAGGAAGTCTTTGGAACCCTTGTCACCTTTGGCTCTTAAAGTTCATTTCCTTGGGCCCCTTGTGGTGGTTAACCTTTTGTTGTACCCTGGGATCAAGCAGATCATGTCTATCCACCAGCCCAGGTGCAGGCTCCAGAGGCTCTTTTGACCAGAAATATGGCCTCCACTGACATGTTCCAGATCATTCTGAAAGGAAGGTCAGCCTGGGTTTGATCTTCCTCTCCCCATGGAGGGCAAGAAAGTTGGGAGCACTTTTGTAGCTACCTTAATTAAGCAAGTGAACCAGCAGGTCTCTGGTAGCTGGTTTATGGCTGCTGGGCTGAGTCATAGTTCCAAGAGAATCCTCCTCCTCCCTGTGGTAAAACACACCTGGTCAAAAGGCACAGTTTCCTTCCTCTGTGTGGTCAGTTAGTTAGTCCTCTCCTTAGTTTCTGTGTTCCTGCCTCTAGAACTGTCAAGATACTGGGCCAAATTTGTCTGCTAGAGTTACTATTCTGACCTTGGAACAGTTTTTAAAAATCTTCCCATACCAACATTAAAACAAAAAGGAAAATAAAAATAGAAACCATCCTGACAGCTTTTTTTTCCAATTCAATAAATTGACCTATTTGACCTATTGATAACACCGGGCTAGGCCTGGTCGTTGACCTCCAGATTGAGAGGTCATCCATAAGAGAACTGGTTAGGTTTTCAATGTGTATTTTTTAACAGTTTAATAAGTCAATATTACGAAAAAAGCGGAAATGTTACCTTCAATCCCACCTTTAATTTACATTTAATCACAAACACTCTCATCTGTTGTGTGGAAATCTTTGTGGTTTTTCTCATGGTGTATGATTTTACAGTTCTGTTTATAATGTATGTGCAGTTCTGAACCTTCTGCCACATATTATACTGTAACCATTTATGGACATTTCTCCACCATCTTCATAATTATCATTGTAATGTCTTTCCAATAGTCCATCAAGTGGATATGCCATAATTTATTTAACCTTTACCCTCTTTTTTTTTTTTTTTTAGAAAGCAGGTTTTATTGAGAGGACAGTAAAGCCCCCACAGTTGGAGGGGACCTGAGGGGGTTGCCTATCTTTACCCTCTTGTTGGACATTTGAATGTTTTCCAAATCATTTTCAGCAATTAAAATATTGTTATGATAAATATTGGTAGATCTTTATCATTCTTTATATTTAGGGTTATTTCCTGAGAATTGATTCCCAGAAGTGAAATCACACTGGGTCAAAGAGTAGTACCTTTTTATGACTCTCAATTCATAACCTGAGACCTTTGGACTAAATGATCTCAAAGGCCCCTTCCGGTAATATTCTGTAATTCAACAGCTCTGAGCTTTAAATTGATGAATTTGCCTTTTCTAAGTTAATCATGCTGTCCATTGGCTTCCTTGTCAAAAAGATATCCCCTCTGAAGGTCTGTGAGTCTCTCTAAAGTAAGCCTGGTTTTCTGCAGCACAAGTACCCTTCCTTAGTGCCTGGCACATGTCCCTAGTTACACAGGCCTCAAGTCATTTGTTTGGATTTATTTATTTACTTATTTTTTGAGTTGGAGTCTTACCCCGTCACCCAGGCTGGAGTGTAGTGACACGCTCACGGCCACCTCAGCATCGACCTGCTGATCCTTTTGCCTCAGACTTCCAAGTAGCCAGAATTACAGGTGTGTACTACCATGCCCGGCTAATTTTTTTGATTTATTGTAGAGATGAGGTCTCGCCAGGTTGTCCGGGCTGGTCTCGAACTCGCGGGCTCAGGCAATCCACTTGCCTTGGCCTCCCAAAGTGCTGGGATTACAGGCTGAGCCATCGAGCCCCGCCACTTGTTTGGATTTAAAATGTAGCTTTTTTTGTTTTTACTGGTTTTGCTGTCTCTTGGCTGAGAATAAAATCCACTTCTGGATGATAGGAAAAAAATAAATAAATAAATAAAATGTAGCTTTTTGTCCCCCAACATATGTTTGACACTCCTAGCCAAGACTGTACCACGTGCTGTGGAAGATACTAATACTAAAGAAGAGACTGGTGCTGAGTTGGCATTCTTTCTATCCTAACTTTAACTTACTGAAAGAGCAAGCAGTGATCCAAAGTGCTAAATAACCCCATTCAACTACAGCTCGCAAATGACCCCCACAGGGCCTCAGAAGCCATTACTTACATAGAAGGGATGGCATTATGTGTCTAGAGAAGGCCTTTAGACTCTCAGGTTAAACAAAAGTGGCCAGTAGGTACAGGGCACTGTTTGAGAGGCCTTCGGGTGAGAAAGGACCAAGTTCAGTTCCTACACAGGATAGCCCACCCTTCCCCAGCCCCAATTACTTGGGTCACGTCCCTTCCATCCAGATTTCCTCATTTGTGTGTGGCTGTTCCCACCAATTAGTCATCAACAGACTCGAGGGAGCAGGAAGCCCTTAATGAAGCATGACCTGGTTACATCCTGTCTTCTCAAATCTGCTGAAAGCTCAATTGTCCTTTTTTGTTAAAGGCCCTCTGATGATTTTCTGGCCTTTCTCTGGCACCCGAGGCCACAGAGCCAAGCAGTCATTTCCCCGTCTTGGGTCTCTGCATTGGCATGGTGCTTAGCTGGGTCCTCCCGTCCTCTGATGCTCGGCTGATGGCTGGTACCTGTCCTGGGTTGAAGGCGATATGAGCCCTGTGCTTTTGGTATAATTTGTCTGTTGGACTTGTGAACCCCCATGGAGCTGTGAACCAAAACCAGGCCATGGGGCGAGGAGTCTAGAGGCTGCATTATAGTTCCAGTTCTGCCACTTAATCTTAGATCTATTTATGCTACTTAATGACTCCAAGCCTCCTATTCCTTATCTCTCAATTGGGGACAAGAACTTGGCCTTCCCTGGCTGCCTCAAAGGATATTGTAGGGATTAGAAGAGGTGACATAGCCAGGTGCAGTGGCTCACTCCTATAATCCCAACACTTTCGGAGCTGGAGGCGAGAAGATTGCCTGAGCCCAAGATTGCCTGAGCTCAATTTGACAAGACCTTGTCTCTACAATAAAAACAAACAAACAAACAAGTAGGACTAGTGGCTCAGTCTGTAATGCCGCACTTTGGGAGGCTGAGGTGGGTGGATTGCCTGAGCCAGCAGATTCGAGACCCGCCTGGGCAACTTGGTGAGACTTTATCTCTACAATAAATAAAAAAATTAGCTGGGCATGGTAGCGTGCACCTGTAGTTCCAGCTACTTGGAAGGCTGAGGCGGAAGGATTGCCGGAGCCCAGCAGGTCGAGGCTGCAGTGGCTGGGAGCATGCCACTGCACTCCAGTCTGGGCGACTGAGTGAGACTCCAACTCAAAAAAACAAAAAACAAAAAACAAAAACAAACAAACAAAAAAGGCTGAGGCAGAAGGATCACCTGAATCCAACGGATCAAGGCTGTAGTGGCTGTGAGCATGCCACTGCACTCCAATCTGGATGACAGAGAGACTATAACTCAAAGAAAAAAAAAAGAAGAGGTGACATACATAGAAGCCCTTGGGAATCTGTAGTTGTGTGTTATTAGCCTTAAACTACACTTCCCCCAGTAGTGTGCCTGGGACCAGGTCTCCTTGTGAACTGGAGGGTGGAGAAGGTGCTCAGTATATAAAACAGGGCTGGCACATACAGGGCCTATATGCCAGTGTCTCTCCTGCCCCCATTAGCCATCCATCCCAGCGAACCTTGGGAATCCGGACTGCATTAGCATGAGGCAAGAAGCCTTGCTGCCATTCCTGAAGTGACATATTCCCTCCAAGTGGGCTGAGCACAGCCATAGTGATCTGTATCCCTTCCCTCTGTTGGAACAGCAGTACTCTGCCCCAGTTTCCTGGTTACTTGAATGACATCCACTCATTTTCAATAGCAATTTGAGCTGACTTTTAAAATAAACTTGGCCAGGCTCAGTGGCTCACGCCTATAATCCCAGCACTTAGGGAGCCTGAGGTGAGAGAATTGCCTGAGCCCATGGGTTCAAGACCAACCTGGGCAACTTGGCGAGACCTCATTTCTACAATAAATCAAAAAATTAGCCAGGTGTGGTAGCGCACGCCTGTAGTTCCAGTTCCTTGGAAGGCTGAGGCAGAAGAATTGCCTGAGCCCAGGAGGTCGAGGTTGCAGTGGCTGTGAATGTGCCACTGCACTCCAGCCTGGGTGACAGAGTGAGACTTCAACTAAAAAAAAAAAAAAAAAAAAAAAGAATCATGGGGGAACCATTCCTTCCTCAGGGTTTGCCCTTCAGAGGAATAAATACACAGTTTCTCAGTCCTCTGTTCAGTTCTGTTCTCCCAATTCCCTACCTTGTCCCATGCCTGCTGAGGGGTCCCAGAAAGAGCTTTTGGGAGTCCAAGTCATACAACCATCCCCAGAGTCAAGAATGCAGCCTTTGTGACGGGCGTGGGAGTGCACAGCCCAGCCTGTCCTGAAGGGCAAGCACTCCCAGTAGCCCACCCTGGTGGCCGGCGTCTGTTCCAGGTGGACAGGTTCCTGTATCACATGCGGCTCTCTGATGACACCCTTTTTGACATCATGGCGCGGTTCCAGACCGAAATGGAGAAGGGCCTGGCGAAGGACACCAACCCCACAGCCTCGGTGAAGATGCTGCCTACCTTTGTCAGGGCCATTCCAGATGGCTCGGGTGAGTGGGCTGGGGACTCCCAGGCTCTGGTCTGGTTCCTCTTGGCCAGTGGATACCCAGCCCCTCTGCCTGGCCTTGTCTCTCCATCTCCTGTCCTCCCAACTCTATGCTCAGTCCTGCTGAATACCTCTTGGTTCCTGATAGCTTGTCTGCTCTGCCCATCTTGGCCTCATACGTTTGTTCCCTCTCCTGCTGGAGTGTTCCAACTATTCCTCTGGGGAACATCCACATAGCTTTGTCCTCTCAGCTTAGAGATCCCTGCCTTCCTCTGGGAAGTCCCCATGCTGCTGTGCATGAGAGTTCCTGCTGCACCAACCGCTCCCTGAGGCCAGGGTCTCACTCACCGGTGTCCCAAGCACCTAGCATTGTGCTAGATTCAGACCAGGCTCTGATATGTTTGTCGAATGACTAATAAATGGCATTCACTCCCAGGTATTTAGATTCTAGGCTATGGCGAGTAAGTAACGAAAGGAAGCATGACGCTGTTAAAATACTAGTAAATGATAATTTAAGAAACCTGAAGCCGGGCTCGGTGGCTCAGCCTGTAATCCCACACCTTTGGGAGACTGAGGTGAGTGGATTGCCTGAGCCCGCGGGTTGGAGAACCGCCTGGGCAGCGAGACCTCATCTCTACAATAAATCTAAAAATCAGCTGGGCATGGTAGCACATGCCTGTAATTCCGGCTACTTGGAAGGCTGAGGC